CTTTTAAAAAAAAACTGAGTTCTCCTCCTGGAGAGCAGGTGGCACTGACCAAAGCTTCTTGTGTTGGGAGACTGGGACCTGGTCACTGGCTTTGTGTGCTGGGGCCTCAGGGACTGGCAGTTGGAGGCTGTAGAGTCTGGCAACTTACCTGGTATGGGCTGCAATCAGCAACACTGGAGCTCTAGGGGTAGGGATGGGGAGTCTGGCCCCTGGAGGTCACCTGCTTACCCGGGCCTTGCACTCCTTTCACTGGCTCCTGCTCACCCAGGCCTTGCATTCCTTTCACTGGCTCCTGCTCACCTGGGTGAGCACAAGGATGTTTTGCTGCTTGAGGATGTTTCTCAGCTGGGAGCTTTATCTCTTGGAGTTGTGCTTCCCAGAGTTTTGCTAAGGCATTGGGAGACTTGGCTGCCGGAGAAAACCGTGGCATGTGGTGGTTTTCCCAGCTGGTGTCCACTAGTTCCCCTGCCTATACTGAGCCACTCAGGGGTCCTGGTGTTGGTACCTGCCTGCTTCATCACCCTGGGGTTCAGGATCTCCCCCTGGTATGCTGAGGTGGAGCTTTCTGCTAGCTTGCTGGGACACCTCCCGTTCTGTACTGCTCCCCCTTCCCTAAGTGAGAGAGGCCTTTCCTGTTAAATCCCCCAAGCTTCCTGGGCTATAAGACTGCTGCACCCTGTCTTTCTGCTGGTTCAGCTATTCCAGGGTTTTTCCTGGGGTGGTATTTTCTAGGCTTTCAGAGGTCAACTCCACCATCTTAGCTCCTGGAAGCAGAACTCTTTTTGAGATCTTGTAAGCCTAATTTGTTCCCATTTTGCAGGAGACTGTCTAGTGGGAATCACGTTACACAGAAACTTTTCTCCTTATGTGAGACAGGAAATGGTTAAATACTAGTCAACCTGCCTCTTTTTGATCTGGGGGGAAAAAGGTTCCCCTTTTTCCTTTGTCTTTCCACATTCAGAACTTGACCAGAGTTCCAATGTAGAGAGAGAGAGTTTTTAATTAACAACTTTTTCTTTCCAAAAGTTTCCAGACCATTTACTCTCAAACTCTCTGTTCACACTGTTCATGCAAATAGATTGTGCCTTTCTTTCTATCCGTGCTCCTCTCATTCCTACATGCTAAAACTTTCTTGCCTTTCCTTCTGTCTTCTCATACCTCTGGTGGACTTTGATTAAAGCCCTTTTAAAACTGCACATATCTTATTTCTTTCCAATTCTGATCTGACACTTCTTTTAAATTTGTCTATTTGCCTTTATCAATCATATAACCTAAAAAATAAAGTATTTTTCTTTCTCTTTCTCATCCTCCCACTCGTCTGAGGCTGCTTCAATCAGGGAGGGAGGGAAAGGGGGAGAGAGGGAGGCATTCTAAGAAAAGTCCAGCTGTAGCCCTTAGAAGCTTCCCTTGCTGGCTGGCTGCATTGTAAACCTTATAGGACATCAGATTACACACAAACACTCCTACCACACAGACAAACGTAGAAGAGATTAACATGACGAACAGATGAAGTAATACAGATAATCATGGGGAAAATCTGAAAATAAAATGGGGAAACCTCTAAGAGGCTTGTCAGAAATCCCCTGCACAAATAAGACAATTTTTCTTGGTTCACTAGATTGTATTGTGGCCAGGCACAAAGCTTTCCTTTTCAAGATCTTGGAGAGTAAGTCCTGCTGAGTCCATCTTTGAGGATCCTGTGGCCTTGAGGCTGGAAGAAAAGGGGGATCATGCAGGCACAGGCTTGAGGACGGGGAGTCCCTCTGTGAAGGAGGGTCACAGGGTGTAGAGGGAAGTAAGCCTTAGGAAACCAAAAAGTACCTGCATTTTCCCAATTCCCTAGCATCCAAGAGAATTGAGAGAATTGGGCATATACGTGTAGATAGGGTGTCCTCTGTGCGGCAGAAGGTGTGTCCAAATGTGAGACAGTCTCGTAACCATCTGATCCGAATGGAACCTGAGAGCGTCAGGCCCCAAAAGCACCTCTAAGCCTTCCTAGGTGCTTGGAGAGCGACCGTAACTGCAGAGCAAGAAAGGGATAGAGAGAGAGGGGATGCTTACATACCTTCTGGTCTTGGCTAAAGAAGGGCTTGAGGGGGTCAAGCAATTCTCCATAACAAGGCCACCAAAATATGATGCGGTTTGGGGTGCTGGGAACCCCATGATGCAAGTATACTGACCTGCCCTGTACCCTTGCATTTTGGGGTTCCCAGCACCCCAAACTGCATCAAAAGTACATTCTTCTGTATACAATTCTTTATAACAAAATATTAATTCTGATAATATGCATTCTTCCTAATACAGTAACCATGAAATAACCCATAAAATGCAGTATACAAAATAAAATCGGTAACATGCAAAACATTTTTTCTAGGTAGTAATTCCCTAGAACTCTGTGACATTTTGTGCTAACATCTCAATTAAAAAACCTCATTAATTTCAAGCAATACTACACTGCTGTAAACCTCTCTACAGTTATCTCTTCCACATCATCACCTTCTCCATCATGATTTTTATATATCGTGTGTCGGCATAAGAAATGAAGTGGTAATTTTTTCAGAGTTTTGTGGAAGCCTTAGATGACACATGAAGATCAGCAGACAACACAGAACCTATGACCATTACTTAACCCAAATTTTATAATAAGGTACTATATTATATTATATTATATCATATCACCACATAAAAGAAAAAAAACAAATTCAGATTTCTCTGGTACAAAGGGAGGGCCAAAAAATTTTATGCAGATTTTCCAGGTTTTTTGTTGGGGAGGGATGCCATGCCCCTTGTCCCTGAGATGTGGAAGGGATAATTACTTTGGTTGCTCTTTGAAAACCAAGGGAGTGGTTACTGGGACTTTAGTTGCTATTGTCAGAAGCCACTGAGACCAGCAAGGTCTCAACGTCACCTCTGACACTCTGAATTCATAGGGAGCTCTTTACAACAGTAGTGTTAGGAAGACCAGTGAAGCACATAATAGGATACCAGCCACTCTACAAACTTGTGCGTATTGCACCTCTCATTTTTTTCCTCTACTGTGCATAGCTGTGAATGTGTACAATTGCCATAAAAGTAAAAATGAGATTGCCAATAAAGTCACATGAATGCTTGAAGTCGCAAAAGTTAAATGTGAGATGTTGAGGATTGTCTTTATATTATGTATGTATGTATGTGTGTATATATATATATATATATACACACACACACACACACACATATACACATACATATATACACACACATATATATCATATATATGTGTGTATATATATACACACATATATATGACATGGTTAATGAAGGAATTTGTTTTGATTATACATGTTTGTGATTTTTCATAACAGGGAATACAGAGGTGGGGAGGAAATAATTTGACACTGAAAATAAAACTGAATTTTAAAAACTACTGTATAAACAAGTTGAAAAAGAGGAGAGAAGAAGGGATTTTATTTGGCTACTTAATTGTGAGAAAACAACAAGGGGAAGAATTAAATAACTAGATAAAAGGAAGAAATAAAATGGAAGTAATAAGTTAAGCAAAACTCTAAAAGTAGAGAAAAGGATAACAAACAGGACTTGAGGAAGAGGGGATAAGAGCTGGAAGAAAGGAGTTGGAGTGGGGAAGAAGACAGGCATTGAACTCATACATTATAAGTTCAGTGCTTGTTGGTAATCTCTGGGCACCTGGAATTTGGGTTGGGTGATTAAATGAACTTTAAAGAAAGAGGTTGATAGGTGATAATGGTAAAGAGAGTCTGGAAGTGTGGAGTGCAAAGAGTATTCCATCTCCCTGTCATAAACTGTAGGTGTTTGGGGGAGGTAATAAATGAAAATACAACCAGTACTGGAAAAGATGACCAGAGATGCAATGACATCAAAAGCAAAACCTGGTCTCAGTGAGTGCCAGAAGATGAAAGAGAAGGTTATGTAGGATGAGAGGAAGTTTGCTAATTATGGAGTAGGCATTCTAGGGGGCTAGAAGAGACTGGGAATTCTGGTGTGAAGTATTGTGGGAGTAGGGTTAAAGGGAGATACGATAAGGGAATGGACAGTTGAGGTTGGGGTAGGGGATTTTTTTCTTTGGCAGCTGGGAGTTCAGTGTCACAGGGATGAGGAGTAAGTGTAGGACGATGTGTAAGTGTGCCAACTACTTGATAATGAGTCCAAGCAGAGTAACAGTGAAATCTGTTGATGAAAGCAGGTGATCAGCATTTTCAAATTAGACTCTCTTGGGCTTAACCCAGTCCTCAACTTCCTGACCTGCCATGTTTTTGTGACTTAGATGGCATCTGGAACCCTGCCTTGTTGCAGGCATGCTTAGTAGATAGTGTGTGTTTCTCATCAGGCATACTCTGTGCACTATTTGCCACAAGTCTGGCATTCTTGTGTCTCTTTGGGGGCAGGAGTGGATTAAAGGGGAAGTGTTCTCTTGTTGTTGTTTGTCCTTCAGTTACAAGCAAGACACAGCTGTCTTCTGTAAGTTTGGGAGCTCAATCACCTGGAGCTTGTTTTCTGGTTTAAGAACAAAGTTATAGGCTTATTTCTAATGTATAACTAAAAGGATAAAGTTATTATATGTAATTCCTAGTTATTGGGCCTCCATTGGGTTGGTTGAGTGTATCATAAGATTACATAGATTTAGAATTGAGAGGGATCTCAGAGGCTGTGCTGTTCATGAACTCTGTCAGCTGTGATGGATTTAAAAAGAGATGTAGAAAAGAAATGTACAGGAGGAAGAGGTATAGAATGGTTGCAATCTACAGTTATTTATGGCATAACTAGTTCATAATAGATATTAGAAAAATAGATGTCACTTGGAACTTTTTTAAACAACTGTAAGCATTTGTGATTAAAATAGGTAAAATCAGCTTTTTTATGTATTCCTTGAATTTTGGTATTACTTACAATTCATACTTGGAACAGTCAAATAGTACAAATTTCTCCACTCTAGTTTAAATGGAAATATTGAAAATTGTAAATGACTTTTGTCTCTCTTACAGGGTGTGCCTGAGGACTTGTTATTCTTTTATCATCATCTGCGAAAGGGTGGTGAAGTCTTTCTGGTTGAACAGTGCCTTCTCCTCTATCGATACCATCCATATGCAGCAACACACTCAGTCCTAGAGTAAGTAAATTATCCATTTGTGATTAGGTGAAAATCGGGAACAGATTTAGGAACCTAAATATATTTAGCAACTCTGTTGGAGACATGCCCAGAATTTTAGCTTTTATTGGCTTAGCTTTAAATACAATACCCAAATTCAAGACCCAGAAATGCTTGGTATAACTTTGCCTGATAGCCACAAATTACTCTATTTGAAATGGTTTTTTGAGTCACTTTTTCCTTATTTTCAGACCATATACTTCTTTTATAAAATATATAATTTCATTGTAATTTGACAGGTATTCATTATGTACATTTTCTAATTTCCATTCAAGGCCTTCAGAAGTATGAAAATCCCATGTCTCTAAAATATCTTTATGCTGTAATTGTTATGCTTCTATAATATTATGATTTCCAATTTGATATTCTTTTCATCTACTCTGATGCTGTCTACTGTTTTTATCATGGTATAGTGGAAGAAGCTTGGAAGAAGACTTAGCTTCTATCGCTGATTCTCATACTAATGCTGTCATCTTGATTAAGTCACTTCAGCTATATGACCTTGTTAAAATCTGAAAAATGAGGTCTCTTCCAACTCTAAAATCTATGAATTTCCCTATATTCAATCAGATACCAGGACCCTTCTTTTCCATTCTTGCTACCAGTGCTATTTGTCAGGCATTCATAATTTAGGATCATATATTTAAAACTGGAAGAAATATGAAAAATTATCTGGTTCAAATTCCCTAATCTCCCATTGTACAAATGTATGTATATGTACAAATGTACAAAGAAACCGAAGCCAACAGAAATTAGTTTGCCCAAGTATAGCAGAGCCAGGGTCCAAATCCTGTCTTCGTTATGATAATCTCCAAATTAGTTTTCTTGCCTCTAGTTTTTTCTCCTGTGATCCCTAATACACTATCACTAGTTTTCTTTTAAAACATCACTTCCATCATGTGCCTACACTGCTCAAAACTTTTAGTGGTTTCCTACTGCACACAAAACTATCTCCCTGGCTTGGCATTCAAGTCTAATGGGGGAGACAACATGCAATTCAGGACCAGGTCATTGCCACTAGAAATTACATCAAATTTATTTTTGAGGAACCTAGGTTTAGGGATCTAAACCTAGCAGTAGGAACTATTTAACACATCACTATAAGCTATAAAAATGTAGTAGTTTACCCAAACAGTATAACATTCCCTACATAATATTCCTCCAACCTTTATACACACTGAAGGTTGGTAGCCAGAGAGTAACTGTTACCTCAAGGGTCAGGGTAGTTACCTTTTAGGTACTCACTCATAAAATTATGGCACATCAGTAGCTTCCTCTTAGCAATCAGCAAATTGGCATAATTAGCTTTTAACAAAGATATTTATGAAGTAGTGTTCTAAAACTAGTAGCTATAAAATATCTAACTGGAGCTCCTGACCTAGTTTCCAAATTCCTAACAGATTATCAGATCTTTAGGATTTGAGCATAAAAAATTGGAATTTCTGGGAATCCTTGGGAATTTCTGAAACTATAAGTTATTCTTTATTTTTAATAACATTTTACTTGTTTTTAAATAAGTGACTGTGGTAATACAGAATGAATTATTTTTCTGTGATAGGATTGTTCTAAAAGCTTCAGATGTTTTTGTAAGGAAAAGAATGATAAATATATGTATTATTATTAAATAATATATTGGTTCACAGTGATTTAAAATATCTAGCAACATGCTGACTGATTTCCTTCATTTTTTTTAAAACACTTTCATCATTCATCATATTCTCTTTACTCATTATGAATCTATAACAATTAATAAATAAATTTAGTAGTATTTACAAAGAACGTCACCCTACGTCTTATATTTAAAAACTGGAAAATGCCAGTGAACATCATTGAGTAGAATTCCAATAATGTAACATATCTTCAGATATGTTAGCAACAATGCAATGCAGAATCACATGTTGAAATTGCCAGTTTGAGGATTTATTTTGCTTCCAGAATGTGTTATTTCTTGGAACATACCTCATAGAATTTATATATGGTATACTATGCATATAAACTTAATAATGTTTGTTTTATTTGAAAGAATGACTCACTATTGGCAGTGGACTGGGCCACAAGCATACACTTAACAACATGGCAACATTTATAAGCAAGGTGGACTGATTCTATTGTGATTGCTTCTCTCCTATGTATTCCTGTCCTGGTTCCTAGAAATGTGTACCATAGCCTTCTGTTCCATGTGTTAGTGTCTCCTGCTTTTGCTTTTGACTTGACATCAGTGAATTCCTTTGAACCTGTTAACCTTTAATTCTTGCAAGAAAATCACTATGCTTTTTTCAATTTGTTGACTGATTTTTCTCAAGATTTTAGTTGTTCCCTGAAAAACTATGGTATCCAAGAAGGAAAGTCCTGGATGGAGAATGTCTTCAGTGCATCCTCATAAATGTAAAGGGTATCCAGCTATATTCTAGATAAGCTCTTATAGTGTAGCAACCCTTCTGAGGTCCTCTCCCAACCTGTACTCAGGCTTGATGGTTGGGTCCCTAAGGAGAATAACTGCTACCTCAAGGTTTAGAAGGAGTAATCACTCCTAAAGTTCATGAGCATTTTTACTTAAGCAGCCATTACTAAGATGGCAGAGTAAAAATAGCAAAACATTATCCCCCACAAACCTGGGACACACTCTCCAAGAAATATACCTTGTCCATGGGAAAAGTAGGTTTAGTACAGTGGTAGTGAGGATCGTGGACAAAGGCAACTTACAACTCTTGGTACTGCAGAACCTGTAGGACTAGGCTTTCTGTCTTTGGTCTTCATTTAATTCTTATGCAGCTCCCCTGAAGTTTAACATCTCTTCTGGTTAGGTTGCTTACCATCCACAGGGCTACTCTCTTCAAATTTCTTTGCTGGATGTTCTTTTTCACAATGGCAAACACCTTTAGCAACCCACCTCTCCTGATTTTCATGCCTGGCCTGATGTTTATGATCAAAGCTTTATTGAAAAGGTAATCTCTCATATATCATTTGAGGAATCTTCAATGATTTTAATATGTGGTTGGTTGATTTTGTTGGAAGACACAAATGCAATGTGGCATTTTGCTTTACCAGATTAAATGCTTATGAAAAAATAATCAATGAACAATGAGCAAAATGGGATCTCTTATTCTCTGCATCTTTCAGTCAGTTGTGTGATAGAAAAGGTAGCACACTGTAGAAAATCTCTTATGAAAACTTGTCTGTTCATGCCATGTGGAGATGATTCTCATTTAAAAAAAATTTATAGCTGGGCATATAGGTTGGTAATTGTAGATATTTTTCTGGTTGCCATTTTAGGTATTAATAAGAGTTAAGATTTCTTCCACACTTTTGGTCCCTTCCCCTCTTTCAAATGCTTTGTGTGTCAGTCCTTCAGTGTACTCACTCAAAATTGTGTTGTTTCTAGTATGGCATCCCTCTACATACAGTTGGCCTGATCTGGCTGAGTCCCATCCTTGTTCTCTTCAATGTAATTTCTGAATCCTCTTTAAACATATCCTGGACTAAGTGTGGCAGGCCTATTGCCTTTGGTGGTAGAAAGTTTGTTATATTTGTCTTTGTGGATCATTTCCATTTTTATTGTTTTTATGCTTCCATTGATAATTCTTAAACCCTCTCAAAATGACTGTCCTTATTTGAGTCTTTCATCAAGTTTTCTTTTAACTAGTTTTACTTTCCACCAATTTAAAGAAAGCTTGATGAGAGATCCAAATAAGCACAGTCATTTTGGAAGGGTTAAAGGATTCCAGCTTTCTGCTTTGTCATATTTTGCAGATGAGTTTATATTTTAATCAGTTTTCCAATTGACTTATTTCTCTCTGTGACAAATAAGTTGTATTTGCTCAGTAAGGTACATAGACCTGTTTGATCTATGTTTGATTTGTAATGGCAATTAATATGTAACAGTACTTTGTAGAAAAGTGTTATAATCAGAGTTGATGACATTTTAAAAAATCTTTTATTTTTTTGAATTAATTTATTTATTTTTAGTTTTCAACATTCACTTTCACAAGATTTTGAGTTCCAAATTTCCTCCCCATCTTGTGCCTGTTCCCACCCCAAGATGGCATGCATTCTGAATACCGCTTCCCCTAATCTGCCCTCCCTTCTATCTCTTCCCCACCTTCTCTTTTCCCCTTCCCCTTCAGTTTTCCTGTAGGGCATGATAGATTTCTATACCCCATTTCTTGTATATCTTATTTCCCAGTTGCATGTGAAAACAATTTTTTTTAACATTTGTTTTTAAAACTTTGGGTTCCAAATTTTCTCCCTTCCTTCCTCCCCACCCACCCTCATTGAAAAGGCAAGCAACTCGATACAGGTACAGATACATGGGTAGTCATGTAAAACACTTCCATAGTAGTCATGTTGTGAAAAACTAAATATATTTCCCTTAATCCTATCCCACCCTCCATTTATTCTATTCTGTCTTTTGACCCTGGCCCTCCTTAGAAGTGTTTATTTCTGATTACCCTCTCCCCCAGTCTGCTCTCCCCTCTATCATTTCCCTACTCTCTTGTCCCCTCCCTCCCCCCATTTTCCTGTAGGGTAAGATAAATTTCCATACTCAATTAAGTGTGTATGTTATTCCCTCCTTAAGCCAAATCCAATGAGAGTAAGATTCACTCATTGTCTCTCACCTTCTCCCGTTTCCCCTCTACTGTAAAAGCCTTTTCTTGTCTGTTTTATGTGAGATAGTTTACCCCATTCTACCTCTCCCTTTCTCCTCCCAGTATAATCCTCTCTCACCCCTTAATTTACTCCAGATATCACCCTTTCATCTTCAACTCACCCTGTGCGCTCTCTTGCTCACGCTCTCTCTCTCTTTTTCTTTCTCTCTCTCTCTTTCTATATATATATGTATACACACACATACATATAATTTTTCCCTCCAACTACCCTAATACTGACAAAGGTCTCATGAGTTACAAATATCTTGATGACATTTTTACTGCATTATTCACTTTTAATTATCAACAGCTTGTTTAAATAGGGAAGGATTAAATGATTTCAATTTCATGACATGTCTTTTCATTCTTCCTCTTTCTTTATACTAATTCTGACCTTTGTTATAAGTAGTGAATGATCTGTCTGTATACAGGTTGCTGTTTTAGGGATCGACACTTATGTCAATTACAGCCTTTGCCTTTCAGTTAAAATATAATAAATTTCATTGGTTGTTGTTATTCGGTATTTTTCATGTTTAGTACCCATCAGTTCTTTTCTTGAAGAAAGTTTGCATGACATGGGATTGTGAGGTTTCTATGTAGCTATAAGTCTTGGCCTTTCTTATTCCTTATTCTTGGTCCACATTTTGCATATATTTTGTATATTCATCAATGACCATATTTGCATTGAATGTAGTAAATATTAAAGTGTATATTGATTTAATTTGGATCATCTTATGGAGTTCTTCATAGAATTTGTCTACTTCTTTGCAATTTATTTGGACACATAAGCTACAGTTATTATGTGGTGGCATTTTTCCAAACACTTCTCATCAGTACTATAATAATAGCTAGCATTTATATGGTGTTTTAAGTTTTGCAAAACATTTTGCATATTTTATTTCATTTGATCTGTAATGCAAAATGAACGAATGTCCCAAAAATTATTTTTCTTGTTGACTTTGGGAATATGATAAAACCAACTTCACCAACACTTTCTCTCTCTCTCTCTCACACCTCTCCAGGGAGTACCTCTGAACTGTCTCAACATTTGAAAGGTTATTTCTTTGTTTCTTCTAGTTTCATTAATAGGGAGGATATAATGACTGTTGTGATTCAGTTCCTCTAGGACTTTGTACATTTATTGATCATTTATTGATCACTTTAAGAGTACCAGTTGCCAAATTAAAGTTGTAGATGATCTAAAAACTGTGTGATTCTCACTACTCATAACCTCCTTTTCTACTTAGATACCACTCTGCCACCATCACTGCAGTAGCAGAAGGGGATTTCATTAGACCCATTTTGTATTTCTTTCTTTTTCATAGTTTGCCACCACCAGAGAATTCATTTCCAAGGGATCAGCCTCCTTTTGATGAGCTTTTATATGCTTGGATAGATTTATCCTTAGAAAGCAGTGATCCATTGACGTAATTTTTAAGAATTCAGGCTCATCTTCATGTTACAATGAAGCTTTAGAGTCGAGCTTTCTGGAATATACCAATAAATTAATATCATGTTAAATTTCTATATCATAGATTTGGGCACTGGGAAAAACAAGAGTATGATTCATCTCTTTTTTTTCTTCATGTTATAGAAGCACCATCTGGCAACACCGAGTCCAGTTCCTAGAGGAAAGGGCTCTTCAGCATTGGACATCATTTACTATCTGGAATGCTGGCAAACAGGGAAGAAAACTCTATAGAAGCTTATCCCCAGTAAATCAGAAAAAGGTAGAATAGCAAGAAACTGTCCTTATATTCCCTATCATTTTGTTGGAATGACTGTAGTGTATGTGTTTTACCTTTATAAATACATGTTTTCTACTTTTTCTGTAATTAGTTCAATTTAGTTCAGCAACTACCTATTTTCCTAGCAATGGGGACAAATAACATTCTGCATTGGTAAGACACAAAGATAAATAAGACACTCCCTCCCCTCATGGAGCTTATAGTCATCCTTTATTTTAATGTAAAATGGGAACATAATGAGAGACAAAAGGGGCTCTGTGCGATCTGAAGAAAGTTACCTTCTAAAACCTTTCTTTCTTTTGCTGTGGTTTTGAGGTACATGAGCATGGAGTTATATTTTAAAATTTTTTGAGGTAGTATATCTACTATCTGGAAACTAAATAATTTTATATTTCAGCTTTAATGATGTCTTTTTACGTATCATAGCCATATCTTGAGATATATATATATACCCCTAGCCATGAATTGAACCCTCCCACTTAATAGCCACACCAACAAAGACCATGTTTGACAGAACATACAATATTCTTCAGTTGTGGTCTCTCACCTCTACTGAGAAGAGGGAAATTTCATTGTGTAAATAATGCCCAATTAGCTTACTTAATCTTACCCCTTTAAAGTTGACATTGAGTCAAGTCAACGTGCATTCATTAAATACCTACTGTATGCAAGGCCTATGAGCTAAGTGCTGGAGGATGCCCAAAAAAAAAAAAAAAAAAAAAAGGCAAAAACAGTCCTTGTCCTCAAAGTGCCAGAAGTCTAGTGTGGAACAAAACATGAAAACAACTATGTTCAAACAAGGTACTTGCAGGATAAACTGGACATTATCTCAAAGAGAAGGCATTAACATTAAGGGAGATTAGGAAAGGCTTTTTGTGGAAGGTGAGATTATAGCTGGGACTTGAAGGAAGCCAAAGGAAGAAGAAAATTCCTGGCATGAGGACCGGCAGTGAAAATGCAGGGAATTAAGAGATAGAGTGGCTTGTTTGAGGATCAGCAAGAAGACCAGTGTCATTGGATCACAAAGCCCTTGGTTTAGGGGGGCAATAAGATATAAGAAGACTGACAGGTAGGAAGGAGCCACATTATGAAGGGCTTTAATGCCAAATAGAGGATTTTATATTTGATTTTGGAGATAATATGGGGACCACTGGAGTTTATTGCAGGTTGGGGTAGGGTTTATGTGACATGGTCAGACTTTTGTTTTAGGAAGATAGGAATCTGGGCCCAATTTAGGTTAATTTTCCTATAGGATTCTCTAAAGTAAATGGACCAAAATACCAACTATATTTGCAGCAATGCAAAAATTAAAAGCCATGTAGATGCAGCACTGAGAAAGAACATTATTTCCTATTTATGTTGTGTGTTTTGTTTGTACGTAGTTGTTCGCATGTTATCTCTCTCATTAGGTTGTAAGTTCCTTAAGGGCAGTTGCCTTTTGCTTTTCTTGGTATTCCCAGCACTTAGCACAGTGTCTGGCACATAGTAGGTGCTTAATAAATGTTTATTGACTAACAACTAAACATAACCTTTCAGAAAATATTCCGTTTAAATTAAAATATGCTGAGGACAAATATAGCCTAATCCATGGACCTACTAATTATCTCAAGTGTATATTCGCAGAAAAACATCTTAAGCTAATGCAAATATTTAATACATTCTCCCTTTATTCTATAACAAATAATTTGAGGGAGAGGTAAACCATGTGATTGATCAAATTCAACGCTCAGGAAAGTTGAATAATTTTTATTTATTTATGGTATAGCACCAACACCCCACACCCCTAATTATTCTGACAACTCAGGACTTATAAGTTTACAGGTTGGGTCGTGAGGGAGGTGGTTATTCTTAGACTCATAGGCACCCTGTAGATCCGCACTCCTAAAACAACAGCACTCTGGTGAGTGAACTAACCTTTCATATTTAGCCATAGACACAATTAAATCAAAGCAAAGGGATCGGCATAGCAAGAACAGTAACTACAAAATGTTCCCATCCACGTAAACCTACACTGCACTTTGCCACAAATGTGATATCTCTGAAAGGAATGGGCACAAAAAGAATACACAGGTAGAGAGGCACACATGTAGAAGAAACATGTGGCCAAGGCAACTCACACCTCTATCACTGCAGGGTCCTGAAGTCCTTTTTTTCCCTAGTGTCCTCATGTTTCTTCTTTCCTGGCTGCAACATTGCCGTTGAGTGGCTTGCTCAGCTGGCCTCCCTGTGTCTGCTATTCCGTAGTTTAACATTACTGTCAGATCTAGTTCTCACTTGAGTTCCTAATTGATCCTCTTCTTTGCTGTCAGAAGTTATGCTTCTTACAGGGTGGATACATATTTTTGTATTTTATTTACATAAGGTTGTAAAGTGAGTCTACTTAAATGAATAAGCATTTACTAAATGCTACTATGTGCCATGCTCTGCGCTAAGCCTTAAGCATAGAAACAAAGGCAAAAATAGTCCTGGGGTGACTGGGAAAATGGTGTTGCCGTTGACAGTAATAGGGAAGTTAGGAAGAAGAAAGGATTTGGGAGTAAAGATAATGAATTTACTTTTGGATGTGTTGAATTTAAGATAAGACATCTTGCTGAAGACCTGGAGATTGTTGGAGATGCAAGCATGGAGGTTAGGAGAGAAGTTAAGCTGGATAAAGATTTGTGAATCATCTGCATAAGAATTGTTGCTCACAGCTTATGGAATATTCAGGGAATGTAAATGATGAAACCCAAGATCATTGGCAGTTGCAGTTATCTCAAAGTCCGTTGAATTATCAGTATAACACATTGTAAGAAAGTAATTATACATTGTAAGAAAAACACTAGTCCAAAGTCCCTGATGGATTGCCAGTTGAATTGCTTTGAATTTTTATTAAACCATATTATCTCCTCCTTAGGTTGTTGCCTTCTGTGATGTTGATAAAAACAAGATCAAGAAAGGTTTCTACTCTTATGAAGACTCTAAGGTTTGTAATAAATGTTCATCATTCCTCTGTTCTGGCTTTCATTGGTAGTATGAAATGCATTTAGCTTAAGCTCCAGGAATAAATAATGTTTTAGACTCTCATTACATTAACTAGCTACAAAAAAACCGTCTTGGTTTGGAGAAAATGATACAGAACTTTTTACCTCCAAATTCTTTTCACTGATTTTGCCACACATCTGATGTCATTGAAATATCCTGGGGCTAATGTTTGGATGACCTGTGAGTTAACAATTCCATTCTAGGGACTCTTGTGGATGCATAGACTAAAAGTTATCAAAGCAATCTACTTTAGTTAATATAATGCCTAGGATATCCTTTACAGTGTTGGTCCAAAGAGGCCAAAAAAATGAGTAGCCTAAATTTAATACTGAGAATGTTGGGAGTTAAGTAAGGTCTCAGTTATAGGATCGATGGAGTCAGTTTCCCGAGCAAAATTGTCTACTTTTTTTTTTAATTAACTGGAAATTAAATAGTGCATAAGAGGGCACTCTTACTCTGCCCTCCCCTACCCATTCTAGTGCTGCCATAATGCATCCAATAGACTTGAATACAGAGTGTGCTTAGGTACACCCTCCTGCTTAAAAAATGTTATTTGTGTGTTTAATTTTTAAGTTTGAATTTTAAATAAAGTTTAGTTATTAATTTAAAAAGGTTGGTTTTAGTTTCTTTGGTGAATAAAAATAATGTCCTTTATGATTCAGTATTAATTTAACAAACATCAGCCTTACAATTTAAAAAAAATTATTAAATTTATTTATTTTTGGTTTTCAACATTCACTTCCATAAGATTTTAAGTTTGAAATTTTCTCCCCATCCCTCCCCTCCTTCACCCCTAGATTGCATGTAATTTGACATAGCTCTACATATATGTTCATATTAAACCTATTTTCACATTAGTCATGTTGTAAAGAAGAATTAGAACTAATGGGAGGAACCAAGAGAAAGAAGAAACAAACAAAAAAAAAGAGAAAGTGAGAGCAAATAATATGCTTTGATCTGCATTCAGACTCCATAGTTCTTTTTCTGGATGTAGATAACATTTTCCATCATGAGCCTTTTGGAGTTGTCTTAGATCCTTGCATTGCCAAGAAGAATTAAGTCTGTCAAAGTTAGTCATCCCACAATGTGGCCATTACTGTGTACAATGTTCTACAATTTTTAAAAAATAAATTTCCTTAGTGACATGGTCAGACCTGATCTTTAGAAGCATTATTCTGGAAACTGGAGATTGGATTGGAGTTGGGAGGGACTTAGTCTACTATCTTTGTTCAAACCTGAGTGATACCTAAGACTCTTTCCATTGGCGGAGATGATGACTGGACTCTGCATGCCTGCCCAAGGTACAGACTTAGTTTAAGATCTTGGGAGAAAAGAGTCTTGCTTTTTTCATCTCACTTAGAAGGTATGGCTCCAGAGCCTCTTTGGGGAGAAAACAGGAAGGAAACATGTCTCTGATTTCAGCTTGCCTCCCTAAAGACTTTGAGAAATTGCCTCTTGAGTGAGATGGGACACTCATTTGGGCTGAGATGTCTCATTTCCACTGGAAGAGCTCATTCATTCTGTATATTGGCCAGTGTGTTCTAGTCTGTATAATGATCTGATTTCTGTTTGCTATCTGCTTAGATAAATAGATTTACTTGATAGTCACTATTTGTGATGATCTTTTATGCAACTAGCGTTTGGTGCAAAAAGATAAAACCTTAGGATATAAGCTTGGAGTACTCTTTAAGGTATAGTAATTCAGGAAAACAGCTTGAACATAGGAACACAATCACTTCCCCTATATTAGCAATATTTAGGGGAACACATGGGTGTAATTCTAGATCTGGCACACACTTTGTGAGCGGAAGAGAGCAAGTAACCTTCTGTCTCCCCTCCAAGAATGAATCAGAGTCTCCCTTGAAGAGGGGTGGGTGAGATTTCAGAGATTCATGATTGCCTATGAGCTAAATTTAGACAGACTCATGTTGATATATACATGGATGACATATATACCTTATGTCTGCATGGATAGAAAGAGTACACATATCAAAAAACCCATAGGTGTTTGAAAATTTGAAATATGAATAGTTTATTCTATAAGTATTCAAGCACAAAATAACTAATTCAGACCCATGAGTTCATCCTTTGGTATCTGGAACCTCCACTGACTAATGCAGATCAGAAAATGGTCTCTAATTGGTAGTCTTAGAAAACTGTCTGAGAGGTTAAATGACTTGACCATAATCACAGTATGATTAGTGACCAAACTTGAACTCAGGTCTTTCTGACTCCATGTACATTATGCTACCTCAAAACCATGCCTCAGCTGCTTTTTCATCCCAGAACTTCCCTGCTTTATAACATCTAGACATCTTGTGACCTTATCATCTTGAAATATCCTTCTGTAAGGCCAACCCCCATCTGACACTGGCAGGTTCTTCCTGGAATCACCACTTTGTGGAGAGGCGCAGGCTGACTAACCTTCATTCCCCTTCCATCTCTGCTCCTAACTTTATGGACTGCAAAACCATGCTCTTTCACTGAGTGCTTTATCCTCCCTCTCCCTCATCCCCTACCTATTTGCTTTTCTGCTCCTTTTTTTGTGTTGTCTGCATCTACTAGAATGTAAACTCTTGGAGGGCATAGATTGTCTTGCTTTTTCTTTATATTTGTGTTCCCATCACTTAGTATAGTGCCTCGCATGTAGTAAGTGCTTAATAAATGCTTGTTGCTTTGACTTGAACTAAAAATAAAACAAACAAAATAAAATAGAATTCTCTAATTGCATACTCTAATGGAATATTCTATGAAGATCTATGAATGCAGTTTATTTGCCTAGACACATTACCTGGAGCTAGAGAACTTGATTTGCTTCCTATGGTAAGGTAAATATCCTTAATCTTGGCAGCCAAGTGGTGGAGTGGATAGAGTACTGTGCTTAGAATCAGGAAGACTCATCTTCACGAGTTCAAATCCAGCCTCAGATACTTACTAGCTGTGTGATGCTGGACAAATCACTTAACCCTGTTTGCCTCAGTACCTCATCTATAAAATGAGCTGGAGAAGGAAATGGCAAACCACTCCAGTATCTTTGCCAAGAAACCCTAGAACTGGGGTCACAGAGAGTCAGATGTGACTGAAATGACTGAAAAACAACAAAATTTTTATATAATCCACCAGGACTGTATTATTCCTTAGTCTCTTCTATTTCAAGATAAATCAGTTTGCTAATGCCATAGAATGTTAGAACTGGAAGGGACATTAAAGTTTTCAAAATATATTGGTTCTGGCATCAAAGAATTTTGCTTGAATCTCTTCTCTAGTGCTTAATAAATATATAACCTTGGGTAAGTCATTCATTCTCTCTGGTCTTCCATTTCTTTATCAGCAAAGTGAGTTCAGATATGTTATGATCCTATGAAATCATCACAGGCCAAAAGAAAGGAGTTTGGGAATAAAAATACAATTTTCAGTTATACATTTTTCACTTTAGATTTGCCAAATGATGTAATTTAGCTTTTTTGACTCTAGATATTTCTAGATATCTTCCATCCTTCAGTAACTCTCTGACTTCAATAGTTCATTTCTTCAGGGAAAATCACAACCTCTCCACACCTTCTCATGTTGTATAATTATTTTAAAAATATTTTTGCAAATGTATTACTTATTTTAAATATTATTTACTTTTTAAATTTTGAATTCCACATTCTTTTTCTTGCTCCCACTCTCTCACACTTATACTGAGAAGGCAAACAATATGATATCAATTATACATGGGAAACCATGCAAAATATATTTCCATATTAGCCACATTTTTTTAAAAAAGCAAGAAAATGAGAAAATTATACTTCAATTTGCACTCAGAGTTCATCAATTCTTTCTCCGGAGGTGGATAGCATTTTTTTCATCATGAGTCCTTTGTAATTGTCTTGGATCATTGTATTGATCAGAGTAACCAAGTCTTTCACAGTGGATCATCATTGCAACATTGCTGTTAACTGTGCATAATGATCTTCTAGTTCTTCTCACTTAAATTTGCATCAATTCAAATATCTTGCCATATTTTTCTGAAACTATCCCCTCGTCGTTTCCCACAGCACAATAGTCCTCCATCACAATCATATGACACAACTTGTTCAGCCATTTCCCATGTGATGAGTATCTCCTCAATTTGTACTACAGAAACAGCTGCTATAAATAGGTCCTTTTCCTTTTTCTTTGATCTCTTTGGGTTACAGATAGAGTAGTGGTATTGTTAGATCAAAGGCTATGCATAGTTTTATAGTCCTTTGGACATAAATCTAAATTGTTCTCCAGAATGGTTGAACTATTTAACTACAGGTTCATTTAGTGTACCCATTTTTCACTCCTTTCCAGCAGGTGTCATTCTGAGAGGTGTGAAGTGGTACCTCAGAGTTGTTTTAATTTGCCTTTCTCTAATTAATATTGATTTAGAGCATTTTTTTCATATGGCTATAGATAACTTTTATTTCTTCCAAAAACTGCCTATTTATACTCTTTGACCAATCATCAGTTGGGGAATGAATCTTAGTTTCATAGATTTGACTCAGATCTCTTCTTAGTATATATTTGAGAAATGAGGCCTTTATCAGAGAAAGGTACTATAAAAATGAAATGTACTTTCCCTGATTATCCCTTTTAATTAGATCTGTTTTTGCTTTTGCTTTGTCTGAGATCATGATTGCTATATCTGCCTTTTTTACTTTGGCAGAAGCATAATAGATTCTGTTCCAGCCCCTTATTTTAATTCTGCTGGTGTCTTTCTATTTCAGGTGTGTGTCTTGTAAGCAACATATTATTAGTTTCTAATTCATTTTGCTATCTGCTTCTGTTTCATGGGTGAACTTATCCCATTCTCATTCATAGTTATGATGACTCACTGTGTATTTCCCTCCATCCCATTTTCTTCTGTTTTTCCTCCTCTCTTTCTCTTTTTATCCTGTTCCTCCTCAACAGTCTATTTTGCTCCTAAACATTTATCTCCTTTAATCTGTCTTCCCTTTTATCATACCTTTTTTCCCTTCTCTTACCTCCTTCTCCTTCTATTTTCCTATTGGGTAAGTTTCATTTCTATACACAACTGAGTATAGATAGATGAATAGATAGATAGATATAGATAGATTCTTCCCTCTTTGAACCAGTTCCTATCAGGTCCAAGTATTGCATGCTACCCTTATCCACCCCATTTTCCCCTAACACTGTAAAAGCTCTTCCTTGCATGCCTCTTTTCTGTGAGAAGAGTTTTCCCATTTTGCATTTCCCTTTCCCTTTCTCCCAGTGCATCCCTCTTTCTCATCCCTTCACTTTTTTTTGGAGAGCATTCCAACATAGTCAACTCACATCCATGCCCTCTGTCTATGCAAACTCTTTTTAACTTCCCTAATAATGATAAAGGTCATAGGTATTACATGTATCATTTTCCCATGTAAGAATGTGAACAGTTTGACTTTATTGAGACCCTTATGATTGCTCTTTCTTGTTTACCTTTTTATGCTTGTCTTGAGTCTTGTGTTTGAATGTTAAGTTTTCTGTTCAGCTCAGATCTTTCCATACAAATGCATGAAAGTCCTCTATTTCATGAAATGTCCATTTCGCCTCCTGGTGTATTATATTCAGTTTTCCTGGGTAGGTTATTCTTGGTTGTAATCCTTGTTCCTTTCCCTTCTAGAATATCATATTCCAAGCCCTTTGCTCCTTCAATATGGAAGCCACAAAATATTATTTGATCCTGACTGTGGCTCCATGATATTTGAATTGTTTCTGTCTGGCTGCTTGAAGTATTTTCTCTTTTACCTGGAAGCTCTGGAATTTGTCTATAATATCCCTGGGAGTTTTCATTTTGAGATCTCTTTGAGGAGGTGATTGGTAGATTCTTTCAATTTCTGTTTCACCCTTTGGATCTAAGATATCAGGAAGTTTTCCTTGACAATTTCTTGAGATATGATGTCCAGGCTTTTTTAAATCACAACTTTTAGATAGTACAGTAATTCTTAAATTATCTTTCTTCAATTTATTTTCTAGGTCAGTTGTTTTTCTGGTGAGATATTTCACATTTTCTTCTATTTTTTCATTCTTTTGACTGTTTTGTTTTTTGATGTTTCATGGAATCATTAGCTTCCACTTTCCCAATTCTAATTTTAAGGAATTCTTTTCTTCAGTGAGCTTTTGTGTTTTTTTTCCATTTGACCTATTCTGCTTTTTAAGGAGTTCTTTTTTTCAGTGAATTTTTGTGCCTCTTTTACCATTAAGCCAATTTTGTTTTTTTAAGGTGATATTTTCTTCAATATTTTTGTGCCTCTTTTTAACTTTAACTCTCTTTTCATAATTTTCTTTCATCGCTCTCATTTCTCTTCCCAATTTTCCTCTACCATTCATTGCTTTCTTTAACTCTTCCAGAAATTCTTGTTGACCTTGGGTCCAATTAATACATTTCTTTGAGGCTTTATGTTTCTAGCTGTTTTCACATTGTTTATCTTCTGAGTTTATGTCTTGGTCTTCCCTGGAACCATAGTAGCCTTTTATGTTCAAATTATTATTTTTGTTTGCTCATTTTTTTCCAGTTTATTTCTTGACTTTGAACTTTTTGTTAATGTAGTTCATTGCTCATTGGATGGAGCAGAGAGGCATTATCCTAAGCTTCAGGTTTTGCTGTAGTTTTCAGAGCTGGTTCTGGGGATCTGTAAGTTGTTAGTGCTTCCAAATTGGTGTGATACTGTAAGTGGTATTATCACTTTCCTGATCTGTGCTTTGATCTTTACCCAGGAAATGCCCCAGGTACTCATCTGCCAAAAAATACTCTCTTTGCCTTGGCACTGTGACCGAGGCCTCTGTTCTCTTGTGACCTACTACCATAGAACTGCCACCTAGAACTTTAGGGTTATTTTATGACTATTCAATTTCTTTTTCTGATTTTGGAGTTATTTAAGTAGTCTATTTCTTCTCTGGTTAATCTTAGTATTTTTTAAAGTATTCAACTATTTCCTATAAATTACCAGTTTCATTAGTATATAATTGGGGAGGGAAAGGTGTTTACAACTTATAATATATTGTAATTTTTCCTTTTTGATTCCAGCAACTTGATTTTCTCCTCTCTATCAAGTTAGCTACCTTATATTTATTTGACTTTTTTTTTAACTGTTATTTTTATTGATCAATTCAGTGGTCTTTTGCTTTCTATTTTATTAATTTCTTTAATTATCCCCAACTAAATAACAAAATAGAGATTTGTTATTTAGTTGGAGAGTTTGAGTTTATTATTCAAGGTTTTTTAAAAAATTTCATCCTCTATTTATCCTTTGTCTCTTTTGTTGATGAAAGCTTTTAGAGATAGGCATTTTACCTCAGTTTTATACAGTTGCCATAAGTTTTGGTGTGCTGTCTCATTGTTTTCATTTTCTATGAGGAAATTTTCTATTTCTGTAATTTGCTCTTTGACCCACTCTTCTTTAAAACTGTTATTTAGTCTACATTTACTTTTTAATTCTTTCTTTATTGTCCTTTACTGAATATAATTTTTATTGCCTTGTAATCAGTAAATGATGTATTTAGTGTTTCTGCTTTTCTGCATTTATTGGCAAGGTAAAGGCTTTGCCCCAATACCTGACCTATTTTTGTAAAGGTTCCACGTTAACTGAGAAGCACATTAATTCCTTTCTGTTCCCTTTCAGCAGTCACTAGAGATCTGTCATCTTTAATATTTCCAAAGTTCTATTTAGATCCTTCTTTCTTATTGAACTTTTGGTTAGATTTTTTTTAGGTATAAAAGAGTTACATACTCCCCATTTCCCTCCCCTCATTTGTGTTACTGTTTTCCCTACAACTTCGGTAAGTATATACATATTATGTTATTGCATGAGTATATGTTAGGTATTGATATCGATTCATTATTAATGGTGTCTTCAAGCATAATGTAATTTCCCTGCTTATCTTTTCATCATGTCCATATTTATTTGAAATCAAGATTGCTACCCCTGCATTTTTTTTAGTATCTTCTTTTAAGTGTGAATCCTTATGTTTCAGTTGTGTTTTTTATAAATGACATATTGTTAGAATCAGCTTTCTAATCCATTTTGGTATCCTTTTCTGTTTTATAGGTGAGTTTGTCCCATTCGTGTTCATGTATTTTCCTCAATCCTGTCTTCTTATATTTTTTCCTCTCTTTAATCCCACCTCCCTCTTTATAAATAAGAAATGGTAGAAGAGAGGGAGTTTGTGTGACATTTGTGATCTTATATGTGAAATAGCCTATTTACACTTAATTGCATCTTTACTCTTCTCCTTACCCTGTTCCTGATCCCAGGTTTTTGCTCCTTCTTCCTTTTCTTCACTTTCTTTCTTACAGGCTTCAAATTCTTCTCTCCAGCATGGTAGTTGGTTTTGCTTACTACCATTCTCTTAGACTTAAAACAAGATACTTCCTCTTAGACTCTTCTTTACCACTTCCTTATACTTTACCCTCTTATTTCTCCTTTGAGTTTTATGTATTTCTATATTGAAATCTATAGAGGGAGGAGGGAGGTATAGAATACATGTCTAAAATTTTGTTCAATCCTCCTTTTTCTGGTACATATGAAAGTGAGATTCATAGAATGCCTGTTCCTCCCACTTCTTCCTCCATGACTTCATACTGAGCCCAAGCAGGGAGTGCTACAGCTGCCCCAAAGGTTCCAGGAGCCACTTGCACTCTATCCTCTGGGATTTGTTTTCAGTTTGACCTGCCTCCTGCTTATCTATCCCAGGATCTCTGTAAGGTTTTGGAAGTGCCCTCTGTGGATTCCTAAGTTGGATGGAGTCTTGAATCAAGTCAGCAAGCATTTATTAAGCTTACTGTGTGACATGTGCTGTGCTACGTGCTTGGACTACAAATGTAAAGGGAAAAAAAGTCCCTTCAAGGAGCTTACAGCAGAATAGGAGAAGACAAGAGAAATGAAAAGTAGTAGTAGTACCTGCATGGAGCCTGGGAAAGAAGTGAAAGAGTGAGAATGGGGTTGGACTAAGCACTTCCTTAAAATGGAAATTATGGGAGGAGCTCACCAATCAGAGAAAGGGGCCACAGGGGCAGAGGAATGTTACACAGTGAGACAGCTGCTGGGAAATGGAGAAGAGAGACTCCAGAAAGTCAAGAAATGTCCCTGTTGCTGAGTAGAGTGACACATCTCTAAGTCCCACTGGAGTATTTATAGGGGATACTTATATAGTATCCTCTGCAACTTAATATGACACGATCTTCCCACAGTCCATGCATCTTCCCAATATGTCCTCTTAGTCTACTTTGATTCTTCAGACATTGTAAAGCTTACAAGGTAAATATATGCAACTGTAACAACAATTCATCTTTGAATAACACTTCAAGGTTTATGGAGAACTTTCTTTACAATAATACAAGGTTAGTTGGTTAGTTGTTGTCCTTTGTTCTTGAAAAGAACCAAAGTGACATCACTATGTTAGGGTTAAGGTACAATGTGTTCAGCTGTGGCTGATCAGACTAATACAAGGTCAGAAGGCTTTACTACAGGTCGGTCACAAAAAATCCATATGAACATTTGGAGTGGAGATGTCTTCAAATTTGTGTATCTCATGTTTCTTTTGAGATATTGCAGTTCTGCATTGCTCATAGAGCATAGTGTGGGAACACCATGCTGGGCATTCCTTTGCCAGTGCCTCCTTTGTCACACAATCGATTCCAGAGTTCTCCAGAGAGACCTAGAGAGTATCCTCCAGTACTTCCTTTTCCAGATGAGGAATCTGAGGCTCAAAGAAATTGGTTGGCCACAAATAGCTGTTAAGTGGCTAGAACTAGAATTTTGGTTTTCTAAATCCTTTTCCAATGCTTTTTGCACTGCTTTGCCCAAGGATAGAAGTAATTAGAAAATGTTTTACCTTTTGGTTATCAGCTAATACCTATAACTGGCTGACTTGATAAATATCTGAATCCTTCTTGTTTTGTTTTAGGAAAGACCCAAACCAAAGATTCCAATACAGCATTTCAAGGATGCTGACCCTCCTTTTGTGATTTGTGTAAAGCTGGTGAGTAGATATAATGAAACAATCATGCAAAAGTTCAGCAGTTATACATGCCTACAAACAACTGTATGTGCAAACTTTGTCTCCCCTATACTGAAAAAAAACAAACTAAAAAACACTATCCTCTTCAAGGTATTGCCGTGTATTTTTCTTCCTTATCCCAGCTAAACCCCTAGATAAAAGCTGTTTGAACTCATTGGCTCCACTTTCTCTCTTCTAAATCACTTTACCGCCCTTTGTAGTCTTCATCACTTCATCACTTAACCAATGATCTCTTAATTCCTCAATCTGATAGTCTTTTCTCAGTCCTTATCTTTCTACATTTCTTTACAGCATGTGGTGCTGTTGACAACCTTCTTCTCCTAAATATTCTCTCTTCTTTTTTTTTTGTTTTGTTTTGTTGTTTGGGGCTTTCTTTTTGGACACTACTCTTTCCTTGTTTTCCTTCTACTTGACTTTTCCTTCATTTCCTCTGATGGCTCATCGATTCACATTAATACCCTAAGTGTACTTGAAGGCTCTACACTGGACTGTTTTTCTCATTTTCCTTTAAACTATCTCAGTGACTTCATCAGCTCCCATAAGTTTATCTCATATCTATATGTCTACCCCAGTTTCTCTTCTGAGCTTTAATTCGCCTTTCCTGACTGTTTATTGTACATTTCAAATTGGATGTCTCTTACACACCTCAAATTTAGCATACATCCTTCAGTTCTTTCAGTCATATCTGACCTTTGTGACCCCATTTGGGGTTTTCTTGGCAAAGACACAGGAGTGGTTTGCCACTTCCTTCTCAGTGAACGAGGCAAATAGGGTTAAGTGTCTTTCCCAGGGTCATATAATTAGTAAGTGTCTGAGTCTGGATTTGAACTCAGATCTTTCTGACTGCAAGCACTTATTACTATGTATTGTGTACCTAATCTATTCCACTGGTCCATCACTGTGTTTCTTAGCCAGAACCAGATTGTTTTGATGATTACCACTTTGTAATACAGTTTAAGATCTGATACTGCTAGGCTACTTTCCTTTACATTTTTTTATCATTGATTTCCTTGATATTCTTGATCTTTTGTTTTTCCAGATGAATTTTATTATTTTTTCTGGGTCTATAAAATATTTTTTTGATAGTTTCATTGGTATGGCACTGAATAAGTAAATTAATTTAGGTAGAATTGTCATTTTTATTATATTGGCTCATCTTGCCCACAAGCAATTAATATTTCTCCAGTTGCTTAGATCTGACTTTATTTGTATGAGAAGTGCTTTGTAATTATGTTTATATAATTCCTGAGTTTGTTTTGGCAGGTAGACTCCCAAATATTTCATATTGTCTACAGTTATTTTAAGTGGAATTTTTTTCTATTTCTTGCTGCTAGACTTTGTGGGCAACATAGAAATGCTGATAATTTATATGAAGTTTATTTTATATCCTTTAACTTTGCTGAAGTTGATAATTTTTTCATCTGGTTTCTTAGTTGATTTTCTAGGATACTCTGAGTATGCCATCATATTATCTACAAAGAGTGATAGATTTTTTTCCACATGGCCTGTTCTAATTCCTTTCATTTCTTTTTTTTTTCTCTTATTGCTATAGCTAGCATTTCAAGTATAATATTGAATAAGAGTGGTGATAATGGACATCCTTGCTTCTGTCTTATCTCCATTACAGATAGTGCTTGCTGATGGTTTTAGATAGATACTACTTATCATTTTAAGAAAAGCTCCAGGAATGAAGCTTTTAACAGGAATAAGTATTGTATTTTGTCCAAAGCTTTCTTCTGCATCTATTTAGATAATCATGAAACTTTTACTGTTTTTGTTACTGATGTGGTCAATTACAGTGATACTTTTCTAATATTGCACCAGCCCTTCATTCCTGGTATAAATCTCACCTGCTCATATTTATGCTATAATCTCTTTGTTAATATTTTATTTTAAATATTTTATATTTTATTTATAAATATTTTATTTTATTTAAAATTTTTGCATTGATTAAGTAGATTAGTGTAGAGTTTTCTTTCTCCGTTTTTGCTCTTCCTGGTTTATGTATCAGCACCATATTTATGTTGTAAAAAGAATTTTGTAGAATTATGTCTTTGCCTTTTTTCCCAAAGAATTTATATTGTATTGACATGAATTTTTCTGTAAATGTTTGGTAGAATTGATTTATGAATCCATCTGGTCCTGGGGTTTTTTTTCTTAGACAGCTTATTGATGCCTTGTCATTTTCTTTTTCTAAGATAAGGTTGTTTAAATATTCTATTTCTTCTGTTAATCTGGGCAATTAATATTTTTGTAAATATTTATCTATTTCATTTAGACTGTTAGATTTATTGGCATATCATTGGACAAAACATCTCCTAAGCAACTTTAATTTCATCTTTATTGGTGGTGAATTCACCCTTTTCATTTTTGATACTGGTAATTTGCTTTTCTTCTTTTTTTAATCAAATTAACCAATGATTTATCTGTTTTATTGGGTTTTTCATAATACCAACTCCTAATTTTATTTATTAGTTCAGTGATTTTCTTTCAATTTTATTCATCTATATTTTGATTTTCAGTATTTCTAATTTGGCATTTAACTGGGAGTTTTTAATTTGTTCTTTTTCTAGTTTTTGTTGTTGTTGTTGTAGTTGCACGCCCAATTCATTGATCTGTTCTTTCTCTATTTTATTTATGTAAGTGTTTAGAAATATCAAATTTCCCCTAAATACTGCTTTGGCTGCATCCCACAAATTTTGGCATGTTGTTTCATTGTTGTCATTCTCTTTAATTAAATTGTTGATTGTTTCTATGATTTGTTCTTTGATCCATTCACTCTTTAGGATTAGATTATTTAGTTTCCAATTAATTTTTAATCTGTTTTCACAGCCCTTTATTGAATGTGGTTTTTATGGCTTTATGATCTGAAAGTATATGTTTAATATTTTTGCTTTTTTGCATTTTGGTTGTGAGGTTTTTAATCCCCTAATAAATACATGGTCAGTTTTTGTGTAGGTGTCATGTACTACTGAGAAAAAGATATGTTTTTTTCTATTTCCATTCAATTTTTCTCCAGAGGTCTACCATATCTAACTTTTCCAAAATTCTATTCATCTCCTTATGTTCTTTCTAGTTTATTTTTTGGTTAGATATATCTAGTTCTGTGAGGGGAAAGTTGAGGTTCCCACTATTACTGTTTTAATGTCTATTTCCTCCTTTAACTCATTTAACTTTTCCTTTAAGAATGTTATACCATTTGGTGAATATAAATTTAGTATTGATATTACTTCACTATCTATGGTACCTTTTAGCAAAATGTAGTTTCCCTGCTTATTTTAATTATTATGCTCTTTTTATTAGATCTAATTTTGCTTTTGCTTTGTATAAGATCATGATTGCTACCCCTGCTTTTTTTTTTCACTTCAGCTGAAACATAGTAACTTTTTCACTTAAGCTGAAGCATAATAACTTTTGCTCTAGCCCCTTACCTTTACTCTGTGTATGTCTCTGTTTCAAGCGAGTTTCTTGTAAACAATATATTGTTGGATTCTGGCTTTTATTCTACTCTGCTGTTTGCTTCCATTTTGTGGACGAATCCATTCTGTTCACATTCTTAATTATTATTACTGTTTATTTCTCTCCCTGTTTTTCCCCATGTTTTTCCTTCTCTCTTTTTTCTCTTTTCACTCTGTCTCTCCTCAGAAGTCTGTTTTATGGGGCAGCTAGGTGGCACAGTGGATAGAGCCCTGATGTCAGGAGGACCTGAGTTCAAATATGCCCTCAGACTTGACACTTGACAACTAACTAGCTGTGTGGCCCTGGGCAAGTCACTTAACCCCAATTACCTAAAAAAATAAATAAATAAATTAAAATTTAAAAAAAGAAGTCTGTTTTGGGTCTGACCAGCACTTCCCCCAGTCTTCCATCACCTCCCTCTTTTTTTATTCTCTTCCCATACTATTTCCCTGTAGGGCAAGATAGATTTCTATACTCAACTGAATCTTCATGTTATTCGCTCTTTGAGCCAATTCCAATGAGAGTAAGGTTCAAGTGTCTTCCTCTTCACTGAAAACGCTCTTCCTTTCATGTATTTTTTATGTAAGATTATTTACCCCGTTCTACCTCTCCCTTCCCCCTTCTCCTTTTCTCAGCCCTTAATTTTATTTTTTTTTAAATCATCCCACAATATTCCACTTCAACTGGGCTCTCTCTCTATGTATACTCCTTCTAACTGTCCTAATAATGAGAAAATTCTTAGGAGTTATAGCTATCATCTTCCCATGTAGGAATGTAAATAGTTTAACCTCATTGAATCCTTTATGATTCTTCTTTTTCTGTTTACCATTTATGCTTCTCTTGAGTCTTATATTTGAAAATCAGTTTTTTTATTCAACTCTGGTCTTTTCATCAGGAATGCTTGAAAGCCCTCTATTTCATTGAATACCCATTTTTTTCCCCTGAAGGATTGTACTCACTTTTTGTTGAGTAAGTTATTCTTGGTTGTAAGCCTAGCTCCTTTGCCCTCCAGAATACCACATTCCAAGCCCTCTGATACTGCTAAATCTTGTGTTATTCTGGCTCCATGGTATTTGGATTGTTTCTTTCTGGTTGCCTGAAGTTTTTTTTTTATGGGTACATCTTGGTACTTTTTTTTTTTTTTTTCAAAGAAATACCTTTTAGTTTTAAAAAAAAATTTTAAACATTTTTATTTAAAGTTTTGAGTCCCTTTCCCTTCTTCCCCTCCCCCTTCCCTAAGATGGTAAGCAATCAGTATAGGTTATACATGTGTAATTATATAAAATATTTCCATATTAGTAATTTTGTACAATAAGACACTTCAAGTATTTTGTGTTTTACCTGGGAGCTCTGGAATTTGGCTGCAGTTATCTAGGGAGTTTTAATTTTAGGATATCTTTCAGGAGGTGATCAGTGGATTCTTTCAAGTGCTGTTTACATTCTGGTTCTAGGATATCAGGGCAGTTTTCTTTCATAATTTCTTGAAATATGATGTCCAGGTCCTTTTTTGATTATGGCTTTCTGGTAGTTCAGTAATTCCTCAATTATCTCTCCATTATCTATTCTCCAGGTCATTTGTTTTTCCAATGAGAAATTTCATATTTTCTTTTTTTTTCTTTTGTTTTATTATTTTTTGATTATCTCATGGAGTCATTAGTTTTCAGTTGCCCAGTTCTGCTTTTTAAGGAATTATTTTCATCAGTGAGCTTTTGCAACTCCTTTTTCGTTTGGTCAATTTTACTTTTTATGCAGGGCAGCCAGGTGGCCTGTTGGATAGAGATCTGGGCCTGAAGTCAGGAAGACTCATCTTACTGAGTTCAATTCTGGTCTTTTTTATTACTTATTACTAGCTGTGTGACCCTAGACAAGTCACTTAACCCTATTTGCCTCATCTCTAAAATGACCTGGAGAAGGGAATTGTAAACCACTCCAGTATCTTTGCCAGGAAAACACCAAATTGTAGTCACAAAGAGTCAGACAGAACTGAAAAACAACTGAATAAGAACTTGATGTTGTCTGAGGTCCCTTACAAAAATGACTATGATTTGATACTGAACAAGATTAGGATAGGTGTCTATGCCCTTCAGCCCCAATTATACCAATGGCTTTTTTTTTTTTTTTTGGTGCCAAAAGGAATTGTTTAAAGAAAATTGTTCATTTGGACTTTCATCCTGATTAACTAGGCAAAACTTAGGACAAAGAGAATTAAAGGGGTTTGTTATAAGTATGTCAGGGTTGGCAACATGTTGACAAGCTCAGGGTGGGGCTAGCTTTTATATGTAACTTTAAGGCAATTCAGATAGGTCCACCTCAGCAAAAGAGTCTGAGCCCTTGCATCTCAGTTTCTTCCCAAGTAGCAAGAATGTGACAGTTTTTGTAGGTGACAAAAGAAGGGGCAATGCAAAAAGTCCCTGACTTGTTACCACCTCCATCAAATCCTCTCCCAACACTCATTGATAAGCTGGGCTGGTAACAATGGGTCATTGAGTTAACATAACTTTCAATATAATCACCCAAACGGCACCTTTTTGGGTCATTGTCAGTCACATTTCTGTTCTTAGGGACCTGAACTGAACTCCAACAGAAGGACGTAGGAGTGGCATTTAGAGTCCATGGCTTTCCCTGAGTCATCAGGGGATGAATGGACCCCTAGAATAAAACTCTTCTCCTTTCACAAGGGAGGGTCTGTCTTGACAGTGGTTTTAAAGTTAGGAGACCTGGGTTTAAGTTCAGTCTCTTAAATCAACTGTGTGACAAGGCTCTTAACTTTGAACCCCAATATCTTCACTTTTAAATTAGCTACCTAAGGAAGAGAGAAGCACCAAGGCTTTTAATAAGTAAGCCATGTTCTTTTAGTCCTTCTACTGTGACAAAGTTTAAAAGCACCTGTATCCATTTCTAGGCACAACCATACAAAGGAAGGATCTGAGTATCTGTTGAGCAGCTTGAAAATAGGGAGATTTAGCTTTCTCCATAGCTGCTTCAGTGCTCATGGGGAAGAAGATGGTCCTTAAAAATGGCTAGTAGCTGGAGGTGTCAGAGCCTGAGTGAGTAAAGAAGTCATAGGAGTCATGATAAAAAAAAAAATGAGACACCACAGAAGATGTGGGCTTGGAAACATTTGGCACAATTGGGTCTGAGAATAGCTAAAATACACTGCTCTCTTATTTTCTCAGTACTGTAACAATGTTATAATGCAAAGAACCCTAGATTTGTAGTCAGAAGACCCAAATTAAAATCTTAGCTTCATTGCTTGGGAAAGTCAATTAATCTATACAATGATGTAAGAGGGTAAGCTTTCAGCAAAGCTGAGAAGGGGCTAAAGGAGACATTGAAATATGAAGGAGGAAAAGTCTTATAATAAAAAAAAAATAGATTCCTTACTTTACTGGAGCCTTAGGTTTGAGTAGCTCACTTGCATATGAAGAGGCTAGCAAGATAGTTAATTTGCTTGTAGGGTACAGGCTGAATTCATACCTTTGTCCCTAGCCATTGATCTGCATAAGATCCCAAAAGGGAGGCTCTGAAGTATAATTGAGTCATTTGCAACTGATCACCCTAAGGCAAAGGGGAGTGTCTTACTGAGGGTAGGCTCTTTTTTTTTTTCCCCTTTTAAAAAAATTTTATTTATTTATTTATTTAGTTTTAGTTTTCAACTTTCACTTCTATAAGATTTTGAGTTCTAAATTTTCTCTCCCTCCATCTGCTTCTCCCGCCTCAAAATGGCATGCAATCTGATATAGACTATACATGTACCATCATATTAAACATATTACCACATTAGTCATGTTGTAAAGAAGAATTAGAACCAAAGGGAATCCATGAGAAAGAAGAAAAAAAAAGAGAAAATAGCATGCTTTGATCTGCATTCAGATTCCATAGTTCTTTCTCTGGATGTGGATAGTGTTTTCCATCATGAGTCTTTTGGAATTATCTTAGATCTTTGTATTGCTGAGAACAGTTAAGTCTATCAAAGTTGGTCATCGCACAGTGTTGCTCTTATTGTATGCAGTGTTCTCCTGGTTCTGCTCACTTTACTTAACATCAGTTCATACAAGTCTTTCTAGGTTTTTCTGAAGTCTACCTGCTCATCATTTCTTGTGGAACAATAATATTCCATTACATTCATATACCACAACTTGTTCAGTCATCCCCCAATCAATGGGCATCCCCCTTAATTTCCAGTTCTTGGCCACCAGAAAAAAAATTTTTGTACATATGGGTCCTCTTCCCATCTTTATGATTTCTTTGGGATACAGACCTAGAAGTGGTATTGCCAGATCAAAGGGTATGCACAATTTTATAGCCCTTTGAGCATAGCTCCAAATTGTTCTCCAGAATGGTTGGATCAAGTTTATAATTCCATCAGCAGTGCATTAGTGTTCCAGTTTTCCCACATTTTCTCCAACATTTATCATTTTCCTGTTCAGTCATTTTAGCCAACCTGATAGGTGTGATGTGGTACCTCAGAGTTGTTTTGATTTGCATTTCATTAATCAATAGTGATTTAGAGCATTTTTTCATGACTATAGAAGCTTTAATTTCTTCATCTGAAAACTGACTCTCAATTGGGGAAGGGTAGGTTCTTTTAAAACAGGAAGGATTATTGAACAGGAGAGGCTACTCCTTCCTGTAAGTGAAGGGCTGATGTTTTAGGGGAGTCAAAGAGAAGCTTTTGCCAATCCAAATCTAAAATGTAAATAAAAGTGCAGTGTAGTTGTGGGTTACTTTGGCTATATGTATTCCCTGCACATGTGCCTCATTACCTTGCATTGGCCTTAGTGTTCTCATCTAAAAATGAGGGCTTTTAACTAGATGATTTCTAAGAGGTCTCTACCAGCTAGTAGTAGACTAAATAGAAAAGGAAAGCTTAGAAGTTAACAGAAGCATAGAATTTAACAGCTGTAAGGAACCTAACTGAGAGAGAGTGGCTCTGCTGCCACATCCATGGATGTGTCCCTGTTTTACCTTCATAAAGCTACACAAGCTTCCTCCTTTCTGCCTTAACAGTTTTTGTTTTTCTCGCTAGGATCTTACTGGTGGGACATTTGAAGAAAACCTGGAGTCGCTGAATCTGCAGGAAGGCCTAGATTATCTTCATTTCAGTTGACCTTGTCATTATGTTTTTGCATTAAAAGCTACAAAGATCCAGCCAAAAGGGGTCCTAGAAAATGGAATTGGTCCAGCCCTAGGCAGGGAGCAAGATGGAACTATACTTCAAACCTAGCAGCAGAGCTGTTGCTTCACCTGAATTATCGTGGAAACAGTGGCATTTTGGAACTACCTCACATGTGCAATTTCAGCAGGTACAATCTGAATGACAAATCAACTTCACGCTATGACTGTAAGTGGAGAGGGCGAGAGCCTCAGGTGCATTGAATGTTCTTCAGAAGAAGGTGAGGCAGCCACTTCATACTGTGAGGACATTAATAAATGTTGAACTAAAATATAACCTGTTCCCAACCCTTTTTATTTTTCAGAAATAAGAAAGATAAAATAGCATAATGAACAGAGCAATAAATGTGAAGTCACATTAATTAATGAAGTAAGTAATTAAGTGGATTCAGGAAGCCTGGACTCAGATCCACCTTGAGACTTGTTCTTGCTTTATGTGATTAACCTCTCAGGATTTCAGTTTCCTCATATGTAAAATGAGGGTAATAATAATTGCATGACCTGTTATTTGACCAATATTTCACATGGCTGCTAGAAGTTATTCAAAAACATTTCAATGGAAAAAGTCCTTGAAGAGTAATGAATAAAAGAGTTGGAATTTGAAAGGAAAATTCATTTGCTCCAAAGTTATATGGAGAATGTAAGAATGGGCAGAGAAGGAGGGCTCTTACAGCAGAGTGCCCCTCTACACCTCATGCTGATATAAGCATACTGCCTGGTCACTGGCCGAGAGAACAGACAAATGGGACAGACTCACCTTGAGCTGGATGGAATTGAAAGTAAGTTCCTACAGGCCCATGTTCAGGCATGTTGAAGAGAGGATTCTTGTTCAGGTATAGGTTGGATAAATTGGCCTCTTGAGTCCCTTTCCAACTCTGTAATTTTGCCATTCTGTAATCAGTCAGGAATAAGGGCAATGACCATCCAGAAGTATAAAAGATTGGAGGTACTTCCTCTAGCCTGGACTGTCTTTATGAGCTATAAAGACCTTCAGCTGAATCTTCACAGTGATCTTTTCATAGAAATCAGCTTCTGGAGAGTAGACCCTTTGGGGAAAGCAACAAGTATCATTTGCTGAAGCATTGACAACTACAGAAGTTAGCAAAGCAACAAAGCTATAGTAGGTGGAGCTATACAGTTGACAGAGACTTAAGGATAGTGAGGAGTTACCTCTTCCTGTTTTGACATTTACTGTAATTTCAGAGTAGAAAGTGACAGAAATGACCAAATAACATTGGATAAAAGCTGTCAGGGAAGAAATAAGCAGAAACAAAGGGACCTAGAGGAGAATGCTGGCATGGAGAAATAAAGAGCCAAATTTTTGTTGGAACCCTTCACAGAGCCAATGCATAAAAACTACACATCTCTTGAAGAATGGTAGTCAACTAGGAGGGTGTTTGGGGGATGAGATCCTGAGGTAAATGTAATCTCTTGATTTAAAACCAGAATAATAATGAATAGGGCTGATTCATAGAGGAGGGCATCCAAATTTTCTAAAACTAAACAAGATATTTTAAAGTGTCAGGATGTAATAGGAGCAATATCTTAACCCTTCCCACCATGCATGTAGGTTAGTTTTTCTTTAAAAGGCATTGGGACAGTCTTCAAAATTTGTTTGGTTCAGGGGACTAAGGACTTAGACTGTTGACATCACTTCATCACCTAAGCATAAAGCAACCACAAGTGCCTGAGAAGGATTCTCAGTGCTGCAATGAGAGCTTCTCTAACTGAATCAACTCAAGGGGTTCTCAGAGCCTTTCTTTATTGAAAATCCTTTTCCTTCTTGGCTAAGTAAATCTCTTTTTGCCAACTGTTGAATGACTTACCTTACTTGGGAGGTAATGAGCAGAGACTTGAGGGATACATGTGATATTTTGTTTTTGAACAGGAAATTTTCCCACCTGGTTAATTCTGAGCCTGGCTTTTAAAAACCTGTGAATAATGTGGAACTTTGGTACATGATTGGCTTTAAATGACTCATGTCTGGAATCAGAGCTAAGAGTTTGTTTATTTTTCCCATTATGGTTTATATCAGATCAGTCTGTGCCCATAGGGGGACAATCTTGATACTGTTATAACCATGGCCTTCCCTTCCTTTTATAGCAAATTTCTAGAATCAAGGAATGTGAACTGTAGTGGTTTTTGTTTTCTGTGTGTGTGTGAGTGTGTGTAATAGAAATATTATACACACATATATAAATCAAAAAAAGGAATAAGAATAATTGAGTTTTTAAAAAAAATTAATGAGGTAGTAAACTTTGAGAAAGAAATAAGATTAGTCTTTCTCTAAGAACTAGAATATATATCTATATATCTATAGAATATGTATCTATATATCTATTGATATCTATATCCATATATATCTAAAGATCCCTCTTTCTATACATATATATACATACATTCATATATATTTGTATGTACACGTGCACACAAATACACACACACATTGGCTTCCAAATGTTTCTAGTAGGATATACAGGCCTTGAGCATGTTTTTGTAATAAGTTCTCAAAACTAGATTAAGGTTTTTACATATACAAATTGCATTAACAATTAATTATAAAGAATTTTAAGTCATGTCTTTCCCCTCCATTTTGAATTCTCTTTTTGATAGTATTAAGAGACAGAAGGGCTCAATACTAAGTCAAGCCTTCAGGGATTTTTTTTTTCTTTTAAAAGAGTCTTCCTTTAGCCTCTTGATGGCATTGTCCATATAAGGTTTAGGTACAGATAGAAAGAACAAATGGTATGTAAAAAATTGAAATTCTCTGGAGTTTCAGGTGAATAATAGACTCTTACTTTATTCTTCTTATAGCTCTTATAGCCCTGTTGTTAAAAGGGTGTAAAATTGGTTTTCACCACAGGAACTCATTACAGGAAAAGCAAATTTAGGAGGTTGTACTAAATTGTACTGAGTCTTGTTACTGGCAGATTTAAGCAGAATTACCTAGGAATCTCTGCAAGTGACTTGGAACCAGAGAAGCAGATCTTCTAGGAGGACCTCTTTCAGAGCTCCCTGAGAAAAAGGCCTATTCCAGAATATCTGAGGGAAAATATTTTCCAAGGACCAAAGGATTACATGGGACATCTGGAACATAAGATGACATGTACAGATTAAATGGATGTTGGGAATCAGTAATTAGGGTACAAGGAGACTTGATGTTATTTAATATTGATGATCATTATTGTATTACTTTAGCTTTTTTGTTTTGTGATGTTTCTGTTTGCCTGGAAGAACGGTATACCCTAATTCATTTTATTCATTGTTTGGGATCAGGAATGTTCCTCCTGCAACTTTTGGTCAACTGAAAGTTTCCTGTTTACATTAACCTCGCCTTACAAAAATAACTTATGTAGTAATGATAATGTTAACTTTTTGACATTCATCAGGTAGAAGCCAAAGGGAAGTTTGAAGCTCTCCAAAATTATGTCATTATCACTCTGGTTAACTGTATAAGAAAAGATATCCCAACATGGAGTTTCTTGACTACCAGGGATTGTATGTTGTTTTCATTTACAATGCCTCCCTCAGTACAAAGAACTGATTCCCAAACTGACTCCCAAATAACAACCAGCAGATATTAGGATGATGCAGTTGATAGAGTGACATAAGTTTAATTTAGTGATGCACCATGATTATTGTGAGCATCAAATGGAGGATTGTGGGAAAGTCAGCTAAATCAGTCAGTGCTGTAAATAAAGTCAATGCTAAGTCAGTCCAAGAACTCCATTTTAAAGCCTTGAATATGTGGCAGGCAGCTGCTTAAGACAACACATGCTTGCTAACCCTATCTCCTCATTTGAATCATAGACCAATCAAAAGACTTAGGGAAGGAGGCTGTGGGTACAAATTGACTTTGATGTGATGATTTAAAAAAAAAAACCCCACAACCCTAATTAAGGAGTGAAACTGGGAGAAGAGGAAAGGAGGGGGCAGAAAAGGGTAAATTATATTACATGAAGATGCACAAAAACATTATAATAGAGGGAAAGAAGGGAGGAAGATGAGCATCAGATTTGGCTCAAGGAAGGAATAACATATTCAGTTAGGTATAGAAATCTAACTTGCCCTATAGGCAGTAGGAGGGGAAAGGGGAAAGAAAAGGGAGAGAATGATTAGAAGTAGTATGTGAAGAAGTAGTAAGGGAAAGAAAAGGGAGAGGACTGATAGAAGGCAGGGAAGATTGAGGGAGGTGGTGGTCAAAAGCAAAACTCTTTGGAGGGAAAGGGAGAAAGGAGAAATAAAAACATAAACAGGGGAAATAGAATGGAGAGAAAAGACACAGATAGTAATCATAACTGTGAATATGAATAGGATGAACTCTCCCATAAAACAGAAGCAGATAGCAGAGATGGATTAAAAACCATAATCCTACAATATGTTGTTTAGAAGAAACACATTTGAAACGGAAGAATACACACAAGAGTAAAGGTAAAAGGCTGGAGTAGAATATATTATCCTTCAGCTGAAGTAAAAAAAAAGCAGGGGTAGCAGTCCTGATCTCAGACAAAGCAAAAGCAAAAATAGATCTAATTAAAAGAGATAAGGAAAGAAACCATATCCTGCTAAAAGGCACCATAGACAATGAAGTCATATCATTACTAAACATGTATGCACCAAGTAGTATAGCATCCAGATTCTGGGAGGAGAAGTTAAGGAAGTTACAGGAAGAAATAGATAGCAAAACTATACTAGTGGGGGACCTCAACCTCTCCCCTTCTGAATTAGATCAGTCTAACCACAAAATAAACAAGAAAGAAGTTAAGGAGGTAAATAGAATTTTAGAAAAATTAGATATGGTAAACCTCTGGAGAAAATTGAATGGGGATAGAAAGGAATATACCTTTTTCTCAGTGGTATATAGCACCTGCACAAAAATTGATCAGGTGCTAAGGCATAAAAAACCTCACAATCCTATGCAGAAAGGCAGAAATAGTAAATACATCCTTTTCAGATCATGATGCAATAAAAATTACATGTAAATAAAGGGCTATGGAAAGATAGACTAAAAATTAATTGGAAACTAAATAATCTAATCCTAAAGAATGAGTGGGTCAGACAGCAAATCATAGACACAGTAACTTCATCCAAGAGAATGACAATAGACAACATACCAAAACTTATAGGATGAAGTCAAAGCTGTTCTTAGGGGAAGTTTTATATTTCTAAATGCTTACATGAATAAAATAGAGAAAGAAGAGATCAATGAATTGGGCATGCAACTGAAAAAGCTAGAAAAAGAACAAATTAAAAATCCCCAATTAAATACCAAAT